GGTTTTCTCCCTCTATCTAGAAGCCTTTAAGAGGGAACTGACACTGATTCTAGCCACTCCAACAGCTATCAAAGTTCCTGAAAACAAATCCTGAGTCCATCACACTTGAGTCCAGCCTTGGAAGACAAAAGAAAAATGAGGAGTAACTCAATAGAGGGATGATTTTGGAAGTTCTCATCAAGAAATTCCAGTGGACTCTGATATGAACATTTGAAATTTGCCCTGTTCTGACTTTTTTCTGATTTTCCGTCTAGAACTTGTAATGCTAATTACTCTTGCCTTTACTTCTCCTTCACATCTCCTGTTCACGATTCAAGGACTTTCTTTTCCCCTTAGAGATAAGAGTTATGAAATTTTGGAGTCTTTTAGATAGACCCACTGAAGGGGTACTTCAGTTGCCTTACCTTACGTCCCTGTTCAGCATGGAAAAAGCCAGAGCCACTGGCGTCCCTATTCCCTATTGGCAATTTGGGTAACCTCTTCAGAGGATGATGTGATAAGAATAGTAGGTAGGAATTGGCAATGCAGTTAGGGTAAAAAGACCCCAAAGAAAAATAGCCAGTTTCTTGGCTAAAAATCAAAATGTCCTTGGGCCTGTTAGCAACATACTCTGTTCCAAAGGCCAAAAATGTCAAAAGTATTTGGGAGCTTTTCTCTAACCCTTAAAAGATTTTAGGGTTACTTCTTCAGAGGGGAGAATGTTAGAGTAGCCAAAAGGCCCATAAAAATAAATAAATCAAAGAAGAAAAAAAAGTGATGGGGAGATATGGGAGGCGTTGGAAGGGAGGGAGTGGGAATGGATTTGCTCAAAACACCTTATATGAAATTCTCAATGAAGTTTTTATAAAAGTTAAAAAATTTCAATAAAAACAAATTTTTTCAAAAATCATCAAGAACTTCAACTGTGCAGTAAAATGATCATGGGACTCCTCTGACAGGGGAGGGGGGAGGGATCTCTCACTACACTGACACACATCCAAGAGACTTCAGCCCTGCTGTGATTTAACATCTATTGATGATTTCTAGTAACCAAATACTACCCACAATACCTGACATGCTGTGTATAAACTGACATGAGGTAGCCTCCATTCACCTTTCAAATTCCTTTTGCTATCAGTCCCCAACTCATCACGACTCTCCAGAGCAATGGCTTGCCTCCAACTGCTGGATGGTACCAACATCCTTACTCTTAGATTTGCAGTACTCTTCTGTCAGCTCTTCTTGGGTTTATTTTCTTTATTTCTCACGTGGAAACTTAAATGTTTTCCCTCAGTGGTTCTCCAGTGAGGTCAATAGTATTCATTATGGTACATGTTAACATTTTCTTGTGTTAGACTTTCTCAAAGCACCCCAGTGTGTGTGTGTGTGTGTGTGTGTGTGTGTGTGTGTGTGTGTGTTCAACCTCATTTTTTAGAAGCTGTCAGTCATTTTCTTTTTGACACAGGGTCTCACATAGGCTAGCTGGCCAGTGGGCCCCTGGGATCTGCCCATCTCTGCCTTCCCAGTGCTGGGATTATAAGCACACACTCTAATGACTGGCTTTTCTTTTAATCTGAAGATCAAACACATATCCTCATACTTGCAAAACAAGCACTTTAATTGTTCTGAGCCATCTCCCCAGTCCAAAGCAGCACTTGATTTTCTTCATAGAATTCATCACTATTTGCAATTACTCAGTGAATTTTCTAAATATCTTCCAGTCTCTTCCAATTTGGCTGATGTTTCTAAGAATATGACTTCTCACATTGCCTGACACAAGAGTGATACCTGAAGAACTGTTGAAGGAAAACCAGATCTTACACATACAGTAGCGTATCTACTGTTTTATAGATAAATCAAATGTTTGCTGAGCTACCTGTCAGAGAAATGAAAAGCCTGGGCTAAATGGAAGTTCTGACAATCTTAAATAGTATGTGTATTTCATTTCCTTAACTTTTATAACAAGATGCTATTGAAATGAAGAGTAATTGCATCAGGATTTGAAATAAGGATATTAAGTGTTTTCTAACTATATCTAGTCAGAACATCCATTTATAATATGTGACAGAGCTCTGATTAACCATGGATTTCTGTTGAAGAGATTTAATGTAATGGGAGCCTCACCAAGGATATATGTAGTGTTCGTGAGACTGGTTGTGTCACCTTCTCAAATCATTCTTATGTAATCACATCTGTGTAGCAAACAGCACCATTTTCCTAACCTCCTTATAAGCCAATTTTATTTATACACTCAGTCTGAGACTCTTATAAGACTATTCTATTTGACCTTCCTTTCTTCTTAATAATAATTTTGAGACAGCCTCTCACGCAGCCCCAGGCTGCCCTCAATCCTGCTATGTAGCTAAGGGTGACCTTGAACATCTCGTCACAGCTTCCACCTCCAGAGTAGCTAGAGTTAGAGCTATATGCCTCCAATGCCCAATTGGTGTGATACTGATGATCAAGTCAGAGCCTGTACATGCTAAGCAAGCATTCTAACTGAGTCACATTCACACCCCTCTCTTCAATAAGCTTCAAATCCCAAGACTAATTAAATAAGACAAAATATACTTGAGTTTATTTTCTATTACTTGAGTGGGGACAATGATTTGTTTTATTTTGCATTTACTTCAGTCTTAATGCCATTGCTAATAGTACAGATTCATGAGCCTGAAGAAGTAATAAATTAAATGTCACATAAAAAAAATTCAGTGAATCTAAATGACCACATTCTTAATTTCCATGAAATTTTCCAAGAATACTATACTCAAATGCTTGAAGCTCTCATTAGTACATTTCAGAAAGTTTTAAATAATACTTTGAAAGAGGATTCAAAACAAGATCCAGAGCAGGACTCAGCACAATCAGAACAGAACTTTCCCAGGGGAGAAACGAACCAAAGAAATGGAACAAGCCAACAAAATTTATTGTGATAATTATTTTCATTTCATTGAAAGAAGTGGGATGGAGAAGAGAGGAGAGGGAAGGGAAAGGAAGGAGGGAAAGGCACAAAGCTGTGAGAGTTCCCGGCGAGCTAGGCTGGTGCTCAAGCATAGTCCCACCGCCTACCTTCTGGATACAAAGGCTGTGTGAGAGGAGGCCGTTCTTTCTCTTCATGGCAAAATGACTTGTAATCAGGACAGCAATCAGAATTTTCCCTTTCACAGAATCTGTCACAGTAACACAATGCATTGACCTCATGGAACTGAGTGACACAGCCATCATCTCTGTCTTCACAACAACCAAAGCGCCTGCAGTACTGTCCTTGGAAAATGGACCTTTTTAATCGAGTACCTTCGAAAATGCTGTGATTTCCAGTGAAATGCGGTCCTGGGTCCACTTCTCTTTGAGATAAATAATGCCTCCCTGTCCAAATTTCTGTAGTCAGATAAGAAAAGATTAAGATCTTATATGTGGCCCACATTCTCTGGGGGTCAGTTTAGCTTCTACTTTCAGTTACTCCTGAGTCCCTTGGTCTGTATGGGGTACTCCTTGAAGCCTGAAACATAACCAGCAAGACACCTCAGCTTGGACCTTGAAACTGAATCTTTACTTGACTGAGAATACTTCTTATAGTTAAACATTAACCATAAATTTCAATGTTTGCCCAAGATAATAGACGTGTTAGAAATAGAACTTTATAATTTCTCTAAAATGAAAAATCCGGATTTCACATAATGCTACAAAGCTTTTGTTATCATCAAAATATATACTTAAATTCTTATGCATAAATAATGCATAAGACATAGCTTTTCCCTCAGAAAAGCTAGATTCCAAAATCTAAATTAAAAGCCCAAAACAAAACAAAACTGAAAAACCTTGTACGTACATGTAGAACATTATGGCAAGGTGCAAGAAATTCAAAAGGCAAAAATACAATTACTCATTTTATTGGCTTGCACAGTGACTAAACCCAGTTTCCCCTGAGGTTGCCTGTGGGGACTCGCCTCTCAGCAGCCATCACTCTGAATCCTGTGCTCACACGCTGGTTTCATTCCCCATCTGCACCTCATTCACCTACCCCGAGCATTTTGATTTCTAGGCTTACTGAAGCCCTATTCAGCAAGAAAGTCCCTGAGTTTGACCTTTCTTTTCCCACCCCGAGTCTCTACATATCATCCGTAAAAATCTGCAGATTCCAGAAGGCTGTCTGTAGCTAAGTCAGTTCTCCTGCTGAACATCTGTGTGGGAGGGAGTCATGAAGGAAACTCAGAGGTCAAGATGTCCTGCATTTCTGTAGAGCTGTGCATTTACAGAGGGCTTTGCTAGGCTGTATTTATTCATTAACTACAATAATATGGTATAAGTAACCAGCAGACAATGATTCAGCAAGAGTGACTGGGTGGACTGTTGGAAAGGACTTGCCTTAGCAATCAGAAACCTGAACTTCTAGCCCCAGGCCATTTACAGGCTCTATGACCTTGTGATCACTAATTGTGATCCTCTATTATTTTCCTATAAAACAAGGATCTTCCTTTCCATGGCTACTTTATAACAGACTCTTCACTCCTTCCCTGACCTTGCTCTTTTACTCCACCCACACTTTCTTCCTCCCGATCTGCTTTCCTTAGGTACCTCCCTGGCAGGTTGTAAACAAGTCAAGTCTTCCTTTATGTTTAAAACATTCTCCACCTCTTGGTCTCACTCGCCTGTCTCCTCTCTTTGGGTCTCTCTCCTGTCCAACTAAACTTCCCCGCCTTCTGCTGAGTGACTAAGCCACTGTAGTATATTGTCCTGCCCACTTTCACCAGTGACTTCCAACTTTCAATTCCTGCAAACCTGTGTCCATCTTTATCCCTAATCTTCTGCAAAATTCTGTGTGTAGACTTTGAAAGGGGCACAGGGAGGAGGGAGAGACAAAGGGAAGTAGAAGCATGGGTGTGTTTATGGTGATTATTGAAAAGCATGTATGTACTGAAACATAAGATCGAACACTTTAAATATGTGCTGTTTTTATTTATAAATTGTACCTCAATAAGATAAAGGTTGATACAGGAATATAAAAGATAACCAGTATAAGACGGCCAGCATATGTCTGGAATAGTGGTTACTCTGAAGTTTCAGGGGAGGATGACTTGTCACAGAGAGAGAGAGAAGAGAGAGAGAGAGAGAGAGAGAGAGAGAGAGAGAAAAAATAGGAATTGAGATACAGCTTAGTTGGTAGAGCATTTGCCTATCACATACAGGTCATCACCAGCCCTGCATTACCAAGTTGTGGTGGTACACTCAGAACTCAGGGCTGGTAGAGTGCTTGCCTATCACACAGGGGTCCTGGTACCATCACCAGCACTGATTTACCCAGTTGTGGAGGCACACTCAGAATTCAGGGGCAAATGTATCAGGTTCAAGGCCATCCTCAGATACATTGTGAATTTGAAGCCAGCCTAGGATACATGAGACCTTGTCTCAAAAAAAACCAAGCAAAACAAAACAAAACAAAAAACAATAAGTGGGCAAATCTCAGCTGTACCATAGACCAGCAATTTGGAATAGAAACTCATTCTCTCTATATTTTCTACATCTTTTCATTTGTTCATTCTAAATCATGGCTATGACAAATAATGCTGCAATAAACATGGAAATTCAGACATCTCTTCAACATACTCATTCATGCCCTTTTGTACATACTCATTTTTAACCTTTGTATATGTGTGTGTGTGTGTGTACATGCATTCATACACACATATCTGATAGGTTTTTTTATTTTGAAAAGCCCTCTATATTGTTTTCCAAAATAATTGCATTAGGTTGCAGTTCTACCAACAGCAAAAATTTCTCTTTGCTCCATATCCTCAGTAACACTGGGGTTTATGTTTTTTGTTCTTTTGATAATAGTTTATCCTAACAGGTATGTTTGTTAGCGTACAATCCTTGTGCTAAGTAATAGGTTTCAGTAACTCCTCCAAACGTGTACCACACACTTTATCTTTGCCCTGCGTTGTCATCTCTTCCTCCTCCCCCTTTCACCGTTTCCTTTCCTCCTCCCAACGAGTTTTTACAGTACTAAGCAACGAATTCCCTCCTACTGAGTGGGTCTTATGTCAATTAGACAGCTGCTGATTACCTCAAAGATGAAAGTGTGCCTTTAGGAATATTTTGCTGGGGCGGTCATCAATGTGATTTATAGTCTTTACCACTGGATAGGCCTATTTGATTGCTTTTCTCCCTTGGTAGCTTGCAAAGCACCTTCTAATACCATTAGATCTAGCCCTCAGGAAAGTGGCTTCCAAGTCAGCTCCAGCTTGATTCCTCCAAGTCCTGTGTCCAAAGTGTGTGGTATCTTCAGCAATAGGGTCTTACTTTAAATTTCTAGGAAGTAATCAAGGGCAATGGCAATAGCCTATATTACTTTGGGAGTCTCTTATACTACCCTGACCAACAGCTGAAAGAGAAGTTTCCCATGAACTAGAGTATTTGTTACTTAGCCTATGACTCCTCTCTCTCTCTCTCTCTCTCTCTCTCTCTCTCTCTCTCTCTCTCTCCCTCTCTCCCTCCCACCCCTCACCCCTGTATGTGCAGAGCAGAGGCCTGACCTTGACGACTTGAGATGACAGGGAAGAAAACAACGACGCTGAGTGCAGCACGTGGAGCATCTGTCTGGTGTGGAGCACAGGTGCATCAGCATCAGGGACTCCAAACTTAGGTCAAAACAAACTTGTCTGTGTATTTTTTAAGTAGGCGTATAAAATAATATATTTCCCTACAGCTTTTTCAGAAATCCCATTTACCTTTTCATCCTGTTTTTTTCTAGACAGGGTGTCATATGCATCCTTGCTGGCTTGGAACTCCCTATGTAGACTAGGTTGGCTTCAGACTCACAGAGCTCCTTCTGCCTGTACAGTACTCCTTCTCCTGTTACCCTACCTCCCCACTTCACAGTTAAAGTCTCCCCCTACTTTTCCCACCTCTCCTTGAAAGTCCTTGTCCTCCTCTCCTCTCTGGGGCTGCTTCTTTCCCTCTCCCCCCAGTCCCTGTCTACTTGTTTTTGCAGTTACTTCGCATTATATACCCAATTCTAAATATTTGAAGCTAGTGTCTACAAAAAAGCCTTTGTCTCTCTGGGTCTGGATTACTTCACTCAGTATATGTTTTCCAGTTCCATCTACTTACAAGCAAATTCCATGATTTTTTTTTTCTTTACAACAGAATAGGGCTCCATCGTTTATATGCACCATGTTTTCACTATCCATTCATCAGGTGATGAGCATCTAGGTTACTTTCCTAAACCAATATAATTTTGAACTATATTCCAAATACTTTCTTACCTCTATACCCCAAATAAATGTAGCTCTCATCACTCAACAAGGAAGCTTATTTTTGGCCTTCTGTGTGCATACACTCTAATGTACAAGGAAGCCTCACTGGTGAGAGTTGAGGGGTGCATTAGCCCTCTCTCCTATGTTCCATGAGCCTTAGTTGTAGAGATTTGAATGCAGATGTGTCACCTAGTACTGGGCATCTCCCAGACACATGTTCTCTGTGCCTGACCAGATATGCTACTCTGCAGTAGCCTCCATCTGTTGAAAAAAGAAGGTTCTTTGATGAGTGCTGTACGGCATGCTTGTCACTGTAAGGGAGGTCTCTTCTATCTGGCACTGCAATCCCTGTCAAGCAGCTCCCAGGTATATATATGCATTAATGTTTAGACACTTTGTGTGAATTTCTCATAGGGTTTCTAGGGCATCACTTTTCCCTCTAGGTTGGATGGGCTGACTAGACTCTAGCAGATGCATTTACACTGAAGGGCATTTAGGTACAAACACCTGGATGAATAGGACTCAGCATATATGGCAGAGTGCATAGGGTTGGGTGGGGGAATAAAGGAAGGCAGGGATGGAGGAGGGGGTCTGGATTTGAGTGGGAAATGTATGAAATTTAAAAAGCTCAATAAAAAAGAAGCTGATTTTTGAAACAGAGATAGACTATTGCAAAGGTCCACTACTGGTCAAAATGCAGAGAATAAGTGACTGTGGGGTGCCTAGCCCTAATTAATACATCTACAAGGAAATCCCTACATCTGTGCCTCAGGGAACATCATGGAAGAGGGGTAAAAAGATTGTAAGAACTAGAGGACCAGGGCACTTGCTGCCAGACAGGCACAACAGGAACGGTGCACCCGTGGATTCTCAACAATATAGTTGCCTAAGCAAGACCCGCATAATGACAACACCAGGTGACTTGTCAACATGGATGGGGGAAATTTCACAAGGTCCTACCTCAAGATGAAGACCATGGGCAGTCAATGATTCCTGAGGGAGAGAGGATCTGTTTTCTCCAAAGAAGAGCTCTGTGCTCAGTTATCTAATCCCCAGTGGTCACATGCACATTAGAACACCACTAAATGGACTCAGTAGGTTTTAGGTGTGTGCATACACATATGTACATCTATAACTACAAGAAAGAGCTAGTTACAAAATTAAGAGTAGGCAGGACACGGGAAAAGCTGGAGGGGAGAGAGAGGCCTAGAAATAATATAAATTATACTCATATGAAATAGTCAAAAAAAGAGATTTAAAAAGGAAAACAGCATCTAA